ACAGAAGACATTTTTGTCTGTGCCATTTAACTTGTTGGAAGTGGGTGGGTCTCTGTAGAAAAATTGTGATGTCACTTATTTCCATGCACCAGTGGGGATTTAGCAACATTTGGATTAAAAATATCACAACAGTAATTGTGGGGTTTCTACTTGTGTTGCCAAATGTATTCAAACTACACCCACACGGCCCTAAAGTTTGTAAGTGTTAAGTTGCTTTTTTTAGTCATGAAAAGTTCCTGTTAGAGAAAACTAGACTTGAGACCAAGTTTTCAGAGGCTTTAATGCATGACAGTGCTAAATATCAGATAAGATACAGTTAATGTGGGTGATTGTGAATCTGCTGGATGTTCTAAGGTTCATGCAGTTTGTGAGTCTCTCTGAAGGTGCAAATTTGCGCATGTAGGCCAATATTAAGGGAAGGTGGGCATCGTGTCGTTCCATCTTGTTTTTTATTTCCTTGGAAGTTTTTCTCCAAGCATTAGCTTTGCAAGCATTTCTGTAAATAAATCTTAAATAAATAATAGTAAAGTAAGTACTTACTTTTTCCCTGGTGGAGATGTAGAGTTAAGACACAATCGCAGAAAATGTTTTTGAAGGTTTTATTTGAATATTTATTTTCCAGTCCCTTATTGTGTCATTATCTGTGACCTTAAATCAGGCTCATATTACACACAGAACATAAGCACAAACTGAATGAAAGCTGCAGCACTGTGAATTCATGTAAGTAAATCAGTGAGAGTGACACTGCTAATGTTAGTTGACCTTTCTCTCCTCTTCCCAGGATGCAAAGTACCTGTTCCGTCTCTATATGGCACTGCAGCAGTACAGGGAGGCTGCTCGCACCGCCATCATCATCGCCAGAGAAGAGCAGTGTGCAGGTACAAACATATTCACACAAACCAAATGCTTGAACCAGTAACGACAAACATAACATGTTTTACAACCGTAGTCATACATGTATGTTAATCATATGTCGTTTTTTTTGCATGTTACTTCTGCAGGGAATTACCGTAATGCCCATGACGTGCTGTTCAGCATGTACACAGAGCTGCAGGCACAGAAGATTAAAATCCCAGCCGAGATGGCCACCAATCTGATGATCCTCCACTCCTACCTGCTGGTCAAGGTCAGTACAGCTGAAACTACAATCACACACCTGTAATGGGTTAGCTCAAGTTATTTACTGTAGTCATGGTAGCCATTAAAAGTGTTTTTCTGAAAGGCCACGCTCAAAGGAGGGGTGGAAAGCCGCCCGTCATACAGAGGGGTTAGAAGCAATATTGTTTAAATACGCCGATAACAGCGCACATTTTCATTCTGTCTTGGAAAACGTTCAGTGTTACTCTCGGTTGTTCACATGAAAAGTGACAGAAATGTGTCAAGAAAGTGTGGGGAAAAAAGAGAAGTTCAAACCTCGGCTCCTTTCCCATCTCAACACTGCTAACCAATCATGGTGTAAATGTCACATTTCTGAAGCTATTCGACCATTTGACAAGCAGTTAAGAAGCATTCTGGCAGTTTAACTCCGAGGCCACCAGGGCGCTGCTGTCGAGCATTTCTTACTGTTCAGTATTCTGAAAACAAATGGTAGGACCTTACGGACTTGATCCCAGCACACCCCAAATACATGTGCCACTCAACTTTGTACCTTTTGAGTAGGAGAATTATGCGTTATATCAGCAGGGACAAGATATTTTAACTTTTACATGAAGCTTCTCAATCTCAACATTAAGTTAATGTAGAGTTGTTGACTTTGTTAATGATGTGTTGCCATGTAGATCCATGTAAAGAGGGGAGACCACCTAAAGGGAGCACGAATGCTCATTCGTGTCAGCAACAATATCAGCAAGTTTCCTGCACGTGAGTCCAAACAGACACTACTACTAATCTAATGTCCAATTCACATCAAAAGAAATCTAAATGAAGCTTAAATGTCACTGAAATTTAATTGTCAAACAACTGTGTTTCTGTGTGTAGATGTTGTTCCCATTCTGACGTCAGCGGTCATTGAATGTCACCGTGCCGGACTGAAGAACTCTGCCTTCAGCTTTGCTGCCATGCTGATGAGACCAGAGTACCGAAATGAGATTGACCCAAAGTACAGGAAGAAGATCGAGGCCATGGTTCGGTGAGCGACGACAACATCCACACCTCCCATTTTCTTTTCTGTACTCCCTCTCCTGACCTCACTTCTTTATGTACTTCACCTCATCTGCCTGACTCTTGCCTACTACTATCCTCCCTTTTATCTCCTGCTCTACCCTCCACCGCATTAAATCCTCATCTCTGCTACTTATCCGGCCGCACCACAGACGTCCAGACACATCGGAGCTGGAGGAGGAAACCACTCCATGTCCCTATTGTGGCTTTCAGCTGCCACAGAACGAACTGCTGTGTATCTCCTGCAAGAACAACCTGCCCTACTGCATTGCCACGGTACAAACACATTATTCATACACACACCATTTCTTTTGAACATAATAGTTTCCCCAGTCTTTATATATTTTTTATCATTTTCTCAGGGTCGTCATATGCTGAAAGAAGACTGGTCAGAGTGTCCTCGATGTGAATTTCCAGCTCTCTACTCACAGTTCATTCAGTAAGTATATAAACAAATAAATCTACAAGAGGCCTACTTGATAGTAATTTCTCAAATCAAATTAGACAGTAGCAGTTGTTGGTTTATAGTGGCACCCTTTTCCCACCCCAATTTAAAGTAATAGTTTGACATTTTGGGAAACATTCTCATGGCTTTCTTGCTGAGAGTTAGATGAGAAGATTTGGTATCTACCAGGAAGTCACTGCTCCTGGCTAAGAAACAGAACCTGAAAAAACTGTTTTTATACAGCTTAAACAGACAATATATTAATTAGAAGTGCTGGTAGGCTAATTGTCCCATTTCCAGTGTTTATGCTAAGCTAAGCGCCTCCTGGCTGTAGCTTCATACTTAAAGTCCAGACACGGGTGGTGTAGATCTTCTCATCTAATTTTCTGCCAGAAAGCAAATTCCCCAAAACGTCAAGCACCTGGGAGTCACTTCTCTTTCTTATTGTCACATTCACACATCTACACTGAACTGTTTGTGTCCAGGTTGCTGGAAACGGAGACGGTGTGTCCCATGTGCTCTGAGACGCTGAGTGTCAAACAGGTGAAGAAGATTTCTGATTGTTCCAAATACCTGCAGACTGATGAGCTGGATCAATGAAGACTAAAAATAACAACTAATAATATGTATATAAATGTCATGTCAGTCTAATGACAATTTTTTTTTTAAATACATCAAATATATTTTGGATGGAATGTGTGCACCTTTTAGTTTTGTATGATGTGAAATAGGAGTATCATAAATCAAATAAAGAATTAATATTTAGGTGAAATGTTTTCTATTCATATTTTTTAGCCATTGTAAACAGAGAGTGAGGATGCTTCAAACATAAAGAGAAATTTCTGTACCAGTAAATATTTATGTGAAAAGAAAAACAGTTTAGCATGTAGCGGAGGCTTACCAAGTATCCAAAATGAGGTTGGGCACCAGACAGGAGAATAACCTTAATCCTAACCTGTCACTTACATGTGTGTAAGTGTGTTCAACGGTAATCAGTTCGTCATTTCCATTAAACTCAAAATGTAGCAGTTCATTTCAGTTGAGTGTAGTTGTGAGAGGAATGAGTGTGTTTGTTTGAGGCACTTAGAATTTGAATGTTTTCAGTCTTAAAGAGCAGCACTGACCAAGTGGGAAGCTTCCAGTCTGAGACGTGAACCTAACGCCGAAGTCCCTTAAACCTGCATTCTATTGAATGACCAGCAGGGGGCGACTCTTCTGGTTGCAAAAAGAAGTCCGGCTCCTTTAGAAATAATGGTAAAATGACCCTACCTCTCAGCTGATTTATTACCTCAGTAAACATTTTCCTGATGTGTTTATGGTCTCAGTCACTAGTTTCATGTCTTCTTCAATACAACATGATGTTCATTTTGTAAATTATGGTCCCATTTAGAGGAAAATAGACCATGGACGGGATTATCTCAAATTGTTAGATTGGCGACCTGTCAATCAGGCTATGGTGACTCGTACCCGCGGCACTGTATAAATTTAAGCAGCGCCGTTGAAAAAGCATATTAGGAGTTGGCTGTTCACTTTCTCTGGTGAGTACCATTTAGTTTTAAGCCTGTTGTTCGCTACCCAAAATTGTCAGCCCTGTTAAAAAATGCCCTGCACACGGCTCCACTGTCTCGTCCAAATATGCTCATGTCTGGTGCCGCTGGTTGCAAAAACTCAACATGGCGTCGCCCTATCGGCCAGACTCAAAACGGCAGTCCACAAACCAACGGGTGACGTCACGATGACTACGTCCATGTGTTACATACAGTCTATGGCACTGACTGATGAGCGACTTTAGTGGAACCGCAGAATAAGTGCTTGACGTCTTAATCCATTTGGCGTTGTTGGTGCTGGCCATGATTTTATCTACAGCTGAAACGATTATTCAATCGACAGATAACTGGCAACTAATTTAGATAATCAATTGTACAGTCAATTTATTTTTATTTTTATTTTTATTTTCTCAAGTTGCAGTATCTCAAGTGCCAGGATTTGCTGCTTCTCTTCATCATATGTCAGAATAAACTGAATAGCGTTGGCTGGACAAAACCTTTGACAGACCAAATTATTAATTGAAAAAAGTAACTGGTAGATTAATTCCTAATGACAGTAATCGTTAGTGGCAGCCCAAATTTAATCTCCTTCTCTCTGATTATTTAGTGCCAGTTTGTTGGGGTTTATAACAGCATTCTTGGACATCTTCACTGAATTTTAATCCCATTGCATAAATTCTCTTGAGATTTTCCTAAATAAATAAATTCAAGCAAAGTGTAATCTAAATATCTGATTTTAAATATTTACAAAAATAACTCTTTGAAACCATTTTCTAAAAGTGTCTAAAACGTGTCAGCTTTCTGAAACACAGCTGTTTTCTCTTGCTTCGTTAATAAATCACAGACACTCATGAGCGACATATTTCTCTATTAATCCTCATGTAATTTTTACAAAATTGCAATTTACAAGTGCTGCTAACCATAGAGCTAAAGCATTTCTGTATCATAGTTGTAGCAAAAAGTAACAGTCTTTTACATAGGAGTCACATTATTTACAGCCTCAAACTCCTGGACTACAAACTGATGATGGAAGAAATGCACGATACTCCTGCTGAGACACGTTACTACAGAGGCGTACAGACATGATAACGGGTGGAACGAGCAGATAATATGCATCATTTGTTCGGTATAGAGACCCTCTGACGGAGACATGACAGGTTGTTAAAAAACAGGAAAGACATTTCTCAGCCTCTGTGGTTAGAGTTAAGTGTTTGGATGAGGGACAGATGAGTTACCTGAAGAGGTTAAGACCAGTTTCACTACTTTCTGATGCTCATTAAAGGATCGTTGCAAGTGCGGAGAAAAAAAAACCCATTACAGTCTGTGTGGGCGGAGGGAGGCAGACCAGGACAGTTTGTTTTCCTCCTCTGGTCATTGGTCATTTCTTGGCCTTGCCTTTCCCCTTGCCTTTGCCCTTCCCAGAATCTTCCTTCTTCTCCTTCTTGGACTCCTTGGTGGCTTTGGCCTTCTTTTGCTGCAGGGAAGAACAAGACGCAGACCACACAGAAGAACAAGATAAGAAGACAGTCTTTGGCATGGTTGCTGAAAATACTGAGTGTGCGTGGGTTTAAATAGGTTTGCACATGCTCTTACTTTGATCATGGCGTCAGTTTTCAGGCCCTCGCCCTCGTCCTCAGACTCCTGCACTTCGTTGTCCACATCCTCTCCTCCCAACTCTGACTCCCCCCGCCACCTCGGCGGCCCTTCTTCACTGCTTGCAGGGAGTACGGAGTCAGGTGAGCTTCCTTGTTGTAGGCCCGAGTGAATGCTGCCTTCACCTGGGGAGGAGACGGACAGCAGAGAAGTCAAAATCCACTGTATGTTGGACATATAGAGGGTGGCAGTACTGTTGTTATTAAGTGCTGTTAGAAGCCATAAGATGTGATGGCAGAGAACATTATCATCAGGCATGCGGGTCAAGCCATACCACAAAGGGAGTGCCAAAAGGTATTGCTATTATATAATAATTTTATTATCTATGATTTGCTATTGAAAAAAACAAAAGCTAATAAAGTTAATTTATGTCACACACAAAAAACCTGTCAGCCGCAACAGGCAGCTGTTTTCAGAGAGAAGGCTCTAAAAACCCACTGTGCACTACCGGTTCAGCAACACACACAGTTAGCGACTAGCTGGTGAACATGGTCAAACATTTAGCCGCTAGAGCCATTTCCCTCAGGAGTTGGTAGAGACCAAAAACACAGCTAAAAGTGAGTGAATATCGGACTAACCTTCCATCAGGTGGACAGAAATATGACTCCAAATAAATGCTAATGTTGCTCCATATCTGTGTGATGTGTAAATAAGCAACTGTTTACTACAACTTGTGTTTACAGTTTGTTTCTTATTTATTATTTCGTCACGGGGAGTCAGAATCTTCCAAATCCTACACATAGGGGACTTAGTTTTTTTACCTAGTAGAGGACTACTGACACTGGATAAGGTGTGTATTAACCATTGGGTTGAATATTTATCAATATAAGTGTGTATATAAAGGAGAGTGATACTCAACTTGTTCCAGGACATGATCGCGTCCATACAAACGAAAGAATGGCGATATTCAGCCCAGACTAGCTCTAAATGTGGTCTGAGCAGTCCACTTGTGATTGGATCACCCAAGATGCACATTAATGCCAGGTATCAAAGGGGCCTCAGAGATGCTGTCAGCCAATCACAATGGCCTGAACCTAGTGATTCCCAAGACATTACTTTCAACCACCATTTCCAATCCCATCATCAAAATCCAAACTATACCCCCTCCCGCCTCCTGCTGACCTTAGAGTCCAGTTTGGAGTAGGGGTCAGGTTGTCCGCCCCAGACACTGATCTCCATGACGCTGTCCACGTCTTCCTTGATGAGCTGGTAGTCGTCCAGCAGCTGCACAGCCTCGCCGGCACCCTCCGCTCCGTGCCTCTGGAGTGGATTAAGCAGCGCCTGGCGAAGATAGTGCAGGTATTCCAGGTTCACCGCCTGCCTGCTGCTCAACGTCCTGCAGGAGCCAAGCAAATAAAACCCTGTCTGATTTTATGTTTGATGACTCGTAAATAGTTAAAAAAGGACAGTGATCAAGGCCTGCTCACTTTAAACACATGTGTGAGGTCAGCTCCTGGACGATGCGGGAATGTTTAGTGGTGGAGGAGTTTTTGCCGAGCCAGCTGGGGAAGGTGGGGTAGTGACTCATGTAGCCTCTCATGAGCTCGCCTGGTAACACACTGGCATAGATGGCCTACGAGCAGGCGCGCACACACACAGCAAAATAATGAATCTCTGGTTCCCCAATACAAGAGCTTGTATTTAAATGTGGTGTAATATAATAAGCTTAACAACGTGTGTTTACTATTTACAATAATTACTGTTATATAATAATGTTCAGTGTTTCGTTATTACAAAACAAAAGCCAATTTCAAATGTAAGAGTAAATGTTTCACAGATCAGCTTCACATAAATTAAAGAAGCATTACAGAGGAAAAACACAGGCTGTAACAAGAAGGGTTAACAGACAATATTATAATAACCGAGCCTTTAAAAACATGTAGTGAAAAAGAATCCACATTTGATCCATAAGAATCCACAAAGCATCAGGGCCTACACATTGCAATACCTTATGTGGACCTCAAATATATAACTACACTTCAGGGCTATGGTGGCTGCGGAGATACCATGTGGAGACAGCGAGAACCGTGATTGGTCAGCTTAGCAAGCCAGTTAAATAAAAGGTCAAGGTTTGTTAGGAAGCTTTCAGCGGTGTCGTCTTTTCTCACGACTCATTTGAAATAAGATATAGGGTTCACTGTTAACAGCTTGAGTTTCACTTGTGCATTATGTGCGTAGCTGTGACCTGAATCGAATTTTTCCCATTTTGTCACGCTTTGCACTACCGTGATTGTGTTTTGGGCTCGGTGCGCTGCCAAAAGCAGATGACCCACGCTCAATACTGTGCCTGAATGCATCCTGTTTAGACACTGAAGCTGCTGCTATGCCAACATGCTGCTTTCCCTTGTTCTCTACCACAGTGAATAAAAGGATGAAAACACAATTACTTTGGATGTACAATAGTCTTCTAATGAGTGGTGAGACAAGGCAAACTTTCCCATCATATGGTGTTATCATTAAGCAAATGAAAGAATGTCATGTTTACTTTGGGGTACATAAATAAAGCACATTGTGGCCTGATAATGTACACATTCATCTAGTGTTGCAGTGGTACTATCAATGGGTCCAACATTAAACTATAAATCTGCATATAAAAGAAATTCACTTCTTTGTTTGTGTGCGTTACCTGGGTGGGCAGCAGTGACCAGTTCTGTCCAGAGCGGATCCGTCTGTCCACCAGGTCTCCGTCGGAGATGGAGTCAGCAGTCTTGCTGAGCAACACCAGGTGGGACTTCAGATCACCCCTGTGAGAAGAGAGACAGACAAGAAAATACAGAACACAGTCTCTGTTAATAGAGCTGGAGCCAGGAAGCAGAGACTGGAAAAAGGTGGAAACAGCTAGCTTCTCTCACCCGGCAGCCTTTGGACGAACATGCAGGTAGTTCTCTTGGACAAAGAGCGGCGCTAGCGAGTAGTCGTGGAAGAAGAGGTCGGACTTGTCGATGAGGCTCATGTGGGTCTCCTCTCCCAAGGCAAACACCTTCCGACAAACATCAAACGGCCCCATTTTCATGTCCTTGCGGGCATTGGCTGCGTCAGACTTGCACTGGTCATACGTCATCACCTTGTCTTTGGCTGACCACATGCTCAAGTTGTGGATCACCTGGGAGAAAAAACAGCCAATGTGGTGAAAGAGGAGACCAAAGGTGGCAAGGGAAGACATAACCTCAATATGAATGGTCTTTTATGAGGCTTTGTCTTTTTTACCTGTCGGACATCCTGATTGGAGGCTAGGATCATTTCGTTAAGAGCTGGGGGTGGGATCTTGATTCCCTCCTTGAAAGCAATGGACATCATGGCTCCCTGAAGAATGAAAAGAAAAAAGAAAACAGGTGAAGAACCTGGAAAAGAAAATATTTACATTTAAGAGCTTACTTTAAAATATTTTAATTTAAAAGAAGGTAAAAGTTTTATATCTTTTGCATTCATCCAAACATGAATCCATCAACATTATGATTTATAGTACAACTATCTTGTTTTCAGCCACTAACGTCTCTGTGTATCTTCTATCCTGTGGCATTGGCATTTTATTTTAACCCAAATGCTAGAAAGCATGTCATTGTCGGATGTGGGACAGGATGTGTGTATTCTTGTGTGTGCGTACCTTGATCTGTTCCACTCGCGGCCTCTGGAAGCGCAGATCGAAGCAGTAGTTGGCCAGTGATCTGATCTTCTGGTGGTTCCGATCGTTGCACATGCAGATGATGGGAATCTTCGAATTTTTGATCAGGCCGATCATCTCCTACAGGAGGCAAAAGGTCAGAGGTCAGTATCAAGAAAACTGTGAAGATCTGGTCAAATTATGATAAAAATGTGTTGTTTTTTTTATTACCTGGATTCCTCCGCGGTCCTCATTGCCAGCCATGCCATCAATCTCATCCATGATCAGGACGTGTTTACTAGTCACCGTCTGAGACGTGCCTTTAAAACACACACATATATACCACATAGTATTCACTTCCCTTCTGGACATGTGGTATGTTATGTTAATTACCTGAGAAATTAATTTAACCTCTGTTGTAGGGCTGTGCGATGACGATCTCTATCGTTTGAATAGAAAAACATCTATTGTTTACAATTCTGCTGTGCTACTCTGGGACTCACATGTTAGCTTTGCAGCTGCAAGTAGCATCAGTTTGCTAATCCACAACCTAGCTAACGTTTGTTGCATTACTTGCTGCGTCGTGTTCAATCTATTATGGTATTTGTCATGGTGTTCGATTTCTCCAGAATCGCATACCGCACCTTTATGATGCAGAGAAATATCCCAATTACAGCTGGAAATGCCATATTTCATTGAATTTACAAAAAAAAAAGTATAATGTGATATGTATCGTTATTGGGATATGAATTATTCGTCATATCGCACAGCCCTAACCTGTGGGAACCAACAAAAAGAAAGATAGAACACAACAATATTCTGCAAATTCACACTTTGTAAACATGTGGGATGTGCTATAGTTAGGGTACCTTATAAGTCAGTACTTAGTAACAACTCTTCTTGTCAGAGGCTGTGATTTCTCAAATAATACATTTTTGCATTGAGCCTTTTAATCTCACTCCTTTTGCTTTTACTTTGTATCATCTTTGATAAAGAGCAGTGACCACATACTATTAAAGAATGGGCATCTAAATCTCAAGCAAGCAGCCTTAAGTTGTTTTTTTTTTTTTACTACCTTAACAAAAATATTACCTCGCTGCATCACAGGGACACGGTGCTAACAAGCATCAGTTATTTCTTGGCTATGCTGGTATGTGATCAGATCAGATAAACTCAAAGACTTCCTCTAGCTGCTTCAGTTAAAACCATAAAAGTGAAATTATTCTCATTAAATTATTACAGTTACATTAAGCTTTAAAATGTACATGAGTCAATGCTAAACTTTGCCTTCTTAACAGTTTAACTTCTGTTTACTTTTCAAAAAAACTCAAGTTAAGCATTGCCAAACATCCATATCACTGCATTTTAAAAACATAGCTCGCCATTTTAATGTTCCAGTGTGTATTAACAATCCTGATCGATTTTTAGACCAACTAGATGGCTATCCAGATTGCAAAAAGGACTTCACATAGCTCTTTTCTTGGGTGACATTTTATAAACAATGCAATTGAGAGTACTTAAAAAATGTTGATGATTTTTTGGCTTCAGTTTACAACTTAATAAAATTTAGGTGTTAATTTTGTGTTTTAAATGGTACAAATGGAGAAATTCATAGGTTATTACATGTCTGGCTATAGTCTACAGGACATTTCAAAACTGAGAAAAAAAGACTTCTCGGGCAAAGCCAAAACCGAAAAGAATGAAAAATTTGCCAAATACCGAAATATTCGCATTTTTCCCATTTAATTTGCCAATTTTTTTACCATTGCATAAATTAAATAGTCAAAATGTGCTTTTTACTCAGTGTTTCCCAGAGGATTAGGAGACACTATGGTGCGTGGGTCCGAGGCCCGAGAGGGTCTGCTAAAGTAAATGACTTTATTTTTAAATTACTTTTATGATTTATACTTTCTGTGAATATAATTCAATTAATCTCATTTCCATCCAGTATAGACACCTTATTTTGAAAACCGGAAGTTGTCACATGTGTATCCCTAAATTCATCAAATCCCCAATTTGATAAATAATGTTGAATGTGGTTCTCGTAACATGAAGACTTCACAGCCTCTTCAGGTAGGACTCTCATACTGCAACACTTGTCTTTGTAAAGAGAGAAACTGACAGGATAAAGGTGCTAACCTGCCTGTCAGCTCGCACTGGTCCGTTTCAGTGGATTTACCATAGAGGCTTGAATACGTGTGCACTCCAAATTTAGGTGCAGCTAGCTTAATCGCCTTCTCAGACATGAGTGACAGAAACACTCAAAGCGGGTCAGACCGTTTTGTTGCCTTTTCTAAGAAGTGTAGGACACAATTCAGCAGAACAGTGGTTTTAAAAAGAACAGTGGTTTTAAAAAGCCTCCATACTGCCGACATGACGACGTAATTGTTCGGTAAAATTCTTCGGCCTTTTGACGAAAAGTGTTTTTATTGCTATTTTTGGCCGCTTCATTTCGGTGGTCGAACATTCGGTGCATCCCTAATTGCAATTTAGAGTGTGATTGTGACATTATTTATCCCCACCCACAGGTTCACATGTCTAACTGACAGAAAGACAGAGAAACAAAAATTAAAAGAGGGATCAACCTTTGTAGAAGTTCTCGATGCTGGTGTTGTTAAGTGACTCTGCGACAACCTCCTTCAGGCTGTTTTTGCTACGAGTACAGCTGGCGTTCATCTCCACGTAGCTGAAGCCCAACTCCTGCAGGCCAACACAAACAGAGTGGAAAAGTTGAGTCAAAAGGAGACTGGGATCAGGGATAAAATGTTCACGTTTAAGACATTACTCATCCCAACTGGGAGTCTCAGGTGCCACAATACTAATACACTGACAGGTGTGAAGGCAAACAGACTCACCTCACAGACCAGGGCAGCTGTGGTGGTCTTCCCCACCCCCGGAGGTCCAGAGAGCAG